TGAATATCTCCTGTGATATACTTTATTTCGATTCCATATTTTTGTCAGAGCTATAGTTCTCATAACCAAACATAATTACAAAATTTCAACTAGTTTCATAAAGAATAACGAAAGATATAATTGACTGAATACATCAAAATGGATTTCTATGTATGCGAACAACCCTTTCTGAGCGCTGATTGGCTAAAATACGAACACGAGATCACCTGGATGCTATCTCAGAAAAATCAAGAAATCATATGCTGACAAAAATCATATGCTGACAGAAATCATATATGCTGACAGAAATCATATATGCTGACAGAAATCATATATGCTGACAGAAATCATATATGCTGACAGAAATCATATGCTGACAGAAATCATATGCTGACAGAAATGTGTAATAAAAAATAAGTAGGCCTAAGATGACTATTTCCAAAACATCAACGTTTGAATTACTTACCACCTTTTTGAGATTCAGAAGCACTAAATAAACAGAAAAGCTGCAATTATGTCCATGAAATATCAAGTAAACGGTAAGCAACTTTCGATTATTACGGTAACAATCTCATCGCAACAAAAGCATCGTACACTCAGTTAAAAGAGTTCGTTAAAATCAGTTGATCAATGTGTTTTAACATTTATATAGCACCCTAATTGATTTGAACTGAATTTCAGAGACGCAATGGTGATATACTTTGAACACGATTAAACTTGTCGTATTTTGATAAGCAAATTCAAAGACGCCACAAATTAATGGTTTGACCACAAGAGCAAAGTTTGGGAAAACATTATACCATATCGGGCTGAAACCAGAAAATGAATGCAGGAAGACAAGCTGCGAACATTTTATGTATTTGCTAATTACAGTTTCAAAACTAATTGCTACCAAAATAAAAAAATTCTCTAATTTTCCAGTCGGAGTTTGATCAGGGTTGTCGAGAAATTTCGGACCGGTGCAACATTTTACTTTTCGTTAGGAATAATAAAATGACGTCAGAATTTCAAAAGAGCAGAAACAGTGCTGTTCCACATTTGCACACGACATCATCACGTGTCTTGGTTCATTCTAAGGATTATATTTATATTATTTTTATATTATTTTTATTACTTTAGCGGAGCCGTTACAGTCAACTACTGTAGTTGAATAAATTCACTACTTTCTGGTTTGTTTTAAAGATAGCTTTCTGTTCTGTGGATAGTTTTTCATCATCTGGCTCAATACGAGAAGAAATAAAGAATAGTTCATGTGTGTTTTGAAAGTTAACCAAGATGGCGTCGACTGCAAACCACCAATATTTAAGGTCACTCATCGGCCACACTTTAAGCCATGCACAGTCAAACGAAGATTAGAATTGATGAGAGTTTCAACTCTCATCCATTCTCATCAAGTTTGAGTTGGTTCAATCAAATTTTGATGAGAATTGATGAGACTTTTTGCCACACGCGCGGTAATATCCAGTCAACTCTCATCAACTCTCGTGCAACTTTTGTTCTCGTTTGATCGGGGTTTGTTCTTGTTTGATCGAGAGTTGACATCAACTCCCATCCTCGTTTCACTGGGAATGTATAGGGACTTCAACTTGAAAAAAAAGCCGATACAGGAGCCTCAACGTAAAAGCGGGCGCCACTACCAGGGCACTTTCTTAGTGGGAAAGTTGTCCTCTCAGACCCCTGACTTGACGAAAGATTACCGTAGCATAATTTGATGGGAGAAATTTGGATTTTCTAAATGACATGCATATTTCTGACACGTAACAGTAGATACCAACCTGTCATTTTCGTACTCGTTGGCATCAAAGAACTCGGCGTCATCCTCATCTTCACTACTTGAATATGATATCGTTGGAAATGCATCTGCCATTCGATGTGCAGATGGAGACGCATCTGCCATTCGATGTGCAGATGAAGACGGAGATGTTCCTGGTAAAGACCTTACTTTATGATTACGCACCGGAGACGCCTTGATAGGGATAGGAAATGCATCTCCTATAGTGGGTGATACAATACTTGGGGAATTAAGTTCTGAATCCGTTCTTGATGGTAACCGAGCACTATTTTCTTCAATAATTTCTTTGGGTTGTTCGCCATTTAGAGCAGGTGTTGTTTCACCGTTTTCGTAAGATTCCTAAAGTATTAATAGTTGTTTTATATACTATTTTAGTGTACTGCATGCAGTATACAAAAATCACGCCATTTTGAACAGATCACAACACGGTTTTCACTCGTTTCCAACCATCAAACTGACGTTACGCCAATTTCGCAATTCTTGATTAAATTTGGTTAGGTTTAGGGTTAGAGTAGGGGTATTAGGGTTTGGGTTAGTTACATCTAACACCTCTTCCGTCAATGACGTCATGTCAGTTTGGTGGATGGAAATGAGTACTGACCTCACAATACATGTGTTAAATTCATCAATGTTCCGCGTCTAACTACAGTAGGTTCAGCAAGCGAACAAAGTTTATCAGTTCTTGCCGTGTTGGATGACTTTGGAGCAAAAGAATGGCACTCATCGCAGACTTAATAAAATTGAGTTCTAAGGATAGCAGGAACTAAAACATTGTTCTTGTCAAAAGGACACCGGGTTCGGCGCATGTTTAACACAGAGTATCTTCGAGGAAGAACGAAACAAGCAAATTAATCTATTATGAACAAGCTTTCGTTGGTAGGAATGCAACTAGCTGAAAAATATAAGGAGAATTTGAGAAAAGGTCCTGGAGTTACTGTTTTTATTGTATTTAAAGCCGGTTTTCCACTAGGCGGAATTTTGCGCGCGGAGCGGAATTTCTCTTTGTCTTTTCTAATTAGTTCCACCCGAGAAATCACAAGACAAAGAAAAATTCCGCTCCGCGCGCAAAATTCCGCCTAGTGGAAAACGGCCTTACGACGCTCTTGCTAAGCGTATCTCGGAAACGCAACTCTCCAACTCACTCTTACCACCTTAACAATCTTGAGTAACTCCAGACCAAGGGCCTTCGCTCAAAACGTCGAATATTTTTCAGGTAGTTGCATCCCTATCAACGAAAGCTTGTTCATATTATTGGCATTACCTCAAAATTAATCTATTATATCTGTATTATATTAAACTAATCTATAATCTTAATCTATCACGATGACCGAATACCAAACAATTTGTCATCATTTTTATGAATTATGAACCATACGCTACAACCTTCCATATACTACCAGTTTAATAGTATTAAATAGTTCGCATATGAAAAACGAGTCATAACCGAAATACCAACCTTTACGGAATGCATCATTTCAAGGGACTGGCCAATATTTTCAAGCATTTTCTACATTGAGAAATTGCAAAACTATAAACAACAACGCTTCAACTTTACCATTCGAGAACTGGAAAACATTGGAACACTGGGAAAAAATGAGATTCAGTCTGTGTTCAGGCTATACAGAGTAAGGAAATAACATTTCCATCATTTCATCATTTAAAAATCACTTAATTAAAAGTGGAAGGGGTCGCGGTCAGCAACTCATGGCGCACTGGGTCAACTGCAGATGAAATCTGAATTTTATTGAGACGGTAAACTCATTTAGATTTTAGACATCACACTAATTTATGAGCAATGCTGGCTCCTGGCACACCCTGGTTGAGCACGCCAAGAATATAGAGTGAGATGGGGGAGAACTGTCAGTAAGTTATGCTGTACCCAGGAGTAACAGAATATAATACATACGGTTGATGTTTCTTTGATAACTTGATATCGCTAATGTGAGGGAAAATATCAGTATTACATTATTTTATACCACAATCCGCTTCGTACCCAAAGCCTGTATAACAATCCAGGTGCTGTAAGGCCGTTTCCACTGCGGTTGCTTTGTCCGCGTGAGAATAGCGTACAAGTTTGAACATACGGTGAATGGGTAGCATGAGTGTTTCTGTCCACGCGGAACAGCGCGCTGGTGAAGCAATTATAATGGAAGATCTACGCGTAATCGTCCGAACGATCTACGCGATAAAGATCTACACGTAATCGTCCGAACGGCGGCGCCTTCACGCGTCGCCCACCCGTGGTAATACTTCATGTATGCCTATTTCTATGTAAAACGGCTGAGGAGTGAAATAATAGAATTCATATACAGTACCTCTGGAGGTTCTTCACTTGCACAATCTTGATTCATCTGCACATGTAAGGCCTAGTACGAAAATAGATAAAAGTGGAATACGTTAGCTTAGTATGTACTCACAGGCGTCGAGAGAGGGGGGCGCAGGCGGACATTTTGACCTGTATTGCCTGCTATTGTCCATAAAGTCTGTGAAAAATGATACTTTCAATTCATTGTAAACTGGATGTGAGAAAATGAAGAATTTCCCCCAAGGAATGCACCATGCAAGGAAGCATACTTTTTACACACTGAATCCTTACTTTGACTTGTTCTGTGAATAATTTAAAATAAGCTTCAGCTTCAGTTAGTTTCTTGTCTAAGTCGTCTTCTGCAGTAATTAATCCTAAATCTGTACCAAATGGCCTCTGTAATACAGAAAAATAATACCCCATAACTTCCAAGTAAAGTTCCTTACTACATGATACGAGAACAATCACCAAGCAAACCAATGCCTCGTTATCAGGTAACATTATATAAATCTCTATATAAGTCTCATTATACTACAGCTGTAGATATAGAGGAAAACCAGAAAACCATATCATTGTCTTTTATATCGTTTTTAAAAGGTAAACATCAAAAGAGCACTTTGACGTTGAATTTCTCAGTTTAGTTAAGAAGATATTCGCATTGTGCCATACATGCAGCACATGCACGTACAGTATACAGTATGTACTTAACCTACCAGTTAGAATGATTTATTATTAGTGGAATTTTAAAGCACCTTGTGTAACCCAAGTAAAACGACTGTACTTACTTCACTATCAAGAAAATCAACAACAGGACAGTGGAATTTTTCAGTTGCTTTCTACATGTCCGTCCTTAGCAGGTGTCACAGACTTCCTGTGGCGATAGCTGTGTATATGTAGCCTCCATAACGTAGCAAGCCGTCGAAGGTTACGAAATCCCGCGCGTTCCCCGTGTCTTAGTTCTACTAAATAACGCGATAGTGAGCTGGCCATACATACACAGCTATCGCCGCCTTCTCAACAAACTTCACGGCCTTCAACACACTGTATATAACAAACGTTTTTTCTCCCGAATCTCAAAGCATAAAATAATTTAATAACGGTTAATTACTATAAGGAGAGCGTACCCGTAATCCCGAATGGGAATGTGTCATAACTGTAGTTTCTAAAGCTCCGATCCATTTTTCCCGTTCTTCAGCATCTCGTGCTAAAATTTAAGATATTAACATTATATTCATTGACACCTTCAAATTAATTATCGAAGCAACGAAGATGCTTATAGGCCTATCCAGGGATGGATTTACTGGATTTGGCCGGAATATGGAAATGGCCGGAATATCCAAGGGCACCCCTAACTCTTGCTATCTACGTATTTGCATTTTTCTTGTACCACAGGACCTTACCAAGTCCAAGGTATTCAAAACCGTATACGCAAAGGTATATAGGTCCGTCTGACATGTCTGGGCATGAAACATGCTGGACTGATGAGAATGTTGGAGCCAATTCTAGTGTTTTGTGTATGTAACTGTCGTCCTTCTCGTTTCGTAAAACAATTCTAGTGTTTTGTGTATGTAATTGTCGTACAGAAACCTGTAGTTTATGTACATCATTTCAAAGAGTAAGTAAATCCCGAGTTTTAAGTTTGTACCAGCACAAGTACGAGGCAATAGTCATTAGAGTACCAGTCACGTACGACTAAAAATCTCGAATTATAGCACCCTGCATACCAGAGCCAGCTGGAACCATTCCTACGATTTGATGACACAATTCCTCTTCATTTGGTTTATGGCAATTTTTCTTCACTTTTCGTAGCGAGTTTTTTCCGCTACAGTCAACCACAATGGCGAATTATGTTTTCGCTTCGTGCAAACAAATTCGTCCAGTGGAAAACAGGTATAAATCGGGTCTTTATTTAAGAGGAAAGTTGGTCAACGTTCCTCACAATACCTTGAAAATGAAATGTTTTCTGATCACAACTGATTGTGAAAGTACTGTCATCTTCATCATCAATCCCAAGCAATGCTCCCTAAAGTAATACAACAAAACAACATCATTGGGAACTCGATAAAATGGCGGCTAAAGTGAAGAAATATTTACAACAAAATGCGTGATTTCAACGAATGGTTTGGAAATGTTTGGTGAAGGCCTGTTTACGCTTGCGAGTTTTGCTGCGATTTCTAGTGCGATTTTCTCCTTCTGATGGATGTGAACGAGTAGAGGAGTCGCGAATGTTCGGAGTACATGTACAGCAATGTGAACATTCATGATTTATCTACTCGTTCACATGCATCAGAAGAAGAAAATCGCACCTAAAATCGCAGCAAAATTTGCAAGTGTAAACGAGCCTTAAAACAACAAATATTTACATTTAATGATTTTATGCAATAAAAATAATTAACTTCGAGAACGAATATGTGCGTGTTGTTTATGTATATATTAATTATATATTCATATTAGTTATTATGCAGGTTTACCAAGATTATTTAAGCCGTGGAGCTCACAGGTATAGCTCATTGCTTGCCAGACCTTCAAGTTCACAACGTCCCCACCCACCCAGCCCCTTTTTCTGGGAGGACATTGCTTGTTCGCACTGGTGGTGCTAACCCGCTTGCTGGGAGTGTCTGCCCGCTTATGTTGGCTTCTATGGGTTGCTTTACATTCTATGCTTTCAGTTATTGCAAACCAGCGGAGGTGTGAGTAAAAATATTAGTATCAGCGTTTCCTGGTCGCTGCTGACCAGAGGTGCCTGTACCAGAGGTGCCTGGAGTACTGTAATGTATTGTTTTGGCCGACAATCAAGGCGCACCCCTGGGTAGCTTTTTGTGTTCAGTCACTTTTCTTTGTTCTCGTAGTCTATGTAATACTTGCGTTTTATGTTGTTACGTCTCGTGGTTTGGGGGTGCGCTGTCGATTACGCCAATTGTTGTCCTGTTGTATATTTTTTCGTTATGCTTACTTGCCGCGACCGCTCGCGGCCATACCTCCAGCTGTTCTGGATGATTATTCCCTTTGTTACTCTATGGTATTGTTATCTTTGCTTTGTCAGGGAGTATTATTTATTGTTTGGTGTTGTATGTTCCGTCACTTGGGTAAGTATTTGTGTGCTTTTTGTTCGTTTTTGTATTCCGGTTTCCACTTTGTGTGAAATAGTTCTGTCTTTGGAGAGGTGAATTCTCGGCATCAATGGGATTTGCCAAGCCGGGATAGTCGTTGGTCGGTAGCTTGAGTACCTACTTGACAGCCAAATTGACTTCAGTTCGTGGTTACAGCCTTGCTAAACGTAGCGTGCATCCTCTCCAACAGAGCTATACCTTCCAAAGAACTGTCGTGCTTAAGTCGTGTGCTATTACTCTATATGCTCTTGCTATTCGTTCACTGAGTGATCGCATGTTAATTTATAATAATTATAATCTCATGTTTCGCACAACTTCCTGGGTGGGCGGCTGTGCTTCACTACTTGTTGCTAGGCTGCATCTCACCATTAATATTATTTTTCATTAATACAATGTCTCGTAGAGACTCAGAAAGGATCGTACACTGATTTATACTATTTTGTATACCTACGGGCCCTCTCACGTGTTCCCGGACGCTCCGGGCAGTATTTACTATTTAGTAGGACCGACCCATGCATGCGTGACAGTGTGAATATTTTTTAATACACCATAATAAAATGGCAGCATGTTGGTCACACAAACACTCGACTGCGATGACAGTTAAAAATGAATGATATGACACATCAATTTCGTGAGTTTCTTTTTAGGTTTACAAAGTCTTGTGTTTCTTAGAAATGTTCTGTCTGTGAAAGAGCATGGCAAGATCGACTTGTCGTTGTACTTCGGATTACGCATGTGGGGTTTGTTCCTGTTCACAAGAATAGACCTTACCGATTATTCTCTTTTACCCAATGGCCTCGTTTTCATGTCAAATACTTACTCACATTTTGTGCTTAGTACGGTTGAAAATTACTTTGTTATTGAGCCTAAGAACAGCAAGAAACAAATTCGTCGGACTCCAAAATCCATAAAATCGCAGCCGATTTAAATTCACAAAAAATTGTACTCGCAACCGACTTAAATTCGACATGACGCCTTCTTTATTATTTTAAAGTTTGTTCGTTCACTGCAACCAGGTATATCAATCATGTTTCGCGCGCTATTCTGGTTTAAATAAATAATTACCAGTCTGAGAGTAGCGAGCAAAACATGATCTTCTTTATTATGCGTTAAATTTCCCTACAGGTTGCGATAATCTTGTTGCTGATATTACGTCACTTTTACATCCATAGGCCAGGGCTTACGATTACCTTCCTGAAATACTTTACATACAAGGTTTTAAGAAGTGGGATTTTATGTTATAACGTATACTTTTGCCCACAAAATACAAGGCCCTTGGTCCTATACAACGGAGCCAGAGGCGTGGTATATCTACTATACGCGGACGTGACACTAAATTCACAGTGTCACCAACATGGGTAAAAACTGTGGAATAACTCGGGATTCTTTTTGTATGAAAACACGGATACAGATGAAGAGCATGTTAAACTGGTAAAAAATCCAAAACTAAAAATCATAATTAGTATAGGTAATCATCGCATGATTACTTGTTTATTATTAGCATGACAAAATTGGATACTTCTCAATGTCAACATCGTATTCTCTCGCCAAAGCCCAGTCCTGCAAGACTTTCAACCAAAATGTGGTGCTTTTGTTCGTATTTTCATTTTGTTCTTTTGCTAACGCAAAATTTGGTGCTTTTGTTCGTATTTTCATCTAGTTCCTCTAGGGCAATTTCATTTCACATTTGTGTTTAAAATACTTTTCCGCCATTTTGTTTGCTTTGGGAAAATCATTAATTGTACTGCAGTACAATTAATGAAATAATTGTACCCCTCTCAACCAATCAGCATCCAGTAATTTTGTCATGCTAATAATAATAACTGTTAATTCGTCAACTAGATTTTAAAAGCACATCTTAAGCCAGTTTTCCATTAGGCGGAATTTTGCGCGTGGAGCGGCTTGTGATTTTTGCGTGGAGCGGAATTTTGCGCTTGTGATTTCTCAGGTGGAACTAATTAGAAAAGACAAAGAAAAATTCCGCTCCGCGTGGAAAATTCCGCCGAGTGGAAAACCGGCTTAAAGCTCCTTATAGATATCATTAGGTCGTGTAGCCATATCTAATGGCCGCCAATACCCACACAAGCCGTAAGACTGTAAGAGTCAATCTCGTCTGCAACTTGCAATGCAATTTCTACAGAGAACTGTGGCGTCATGTAAAATATTGGCTTAAAAATAGTAGGGATAATTTACCTTTAATCGTAGACAGCCCCTCCTTGCTCCCCTCATCATTTTTTCTTTGGACTATAGTGAATATTACAAACAAAATAAATGTTGAAATTTCAATAATGTTCAAATCCAGCCAAACCTCTTCTTATGGACAACTCTCTAACCATCTCTAAAATAACCATCTATACACCCTCTCTAATAGAACAGACACGAAATCTTGTCCACAGAGAGCAAATCCCTATTTGCAGTTACACATCAATACTTGATTCACTTTGAGGCACAATAGAACAGTCATTTATATAACCAATAATAAACATCTGCTTGAATGCCTCCCCCCAAATATCATCCTGGGTAATTTTTCTATGACATTTGACCCCCCCCCCCCATAGGACATATTAGCTCCCCTAAGTATAGACCACGGTCATATGGTTGAAGAGTTTTTAATTGGTTGGGTCTGAAAATTGTATGACTTGTACAGTAATCTGCTGCTCGAAATTTCCATGTACTTAAACACTTCAATTGTTAGTTCTATTGAGAGAGATGCCCAAAATCTGGGTCATATGTCCTACGACATAATTGATCGGGGGGTGTACGTAATATTTCCTAGGAATTGTGGCCCCTTCTTCGGCAATTTGGCCTTCGTTTTAAGACTGAACAAATGTAAGCACACTGCACGTAAAAAATCCAGCGTAAGAATATTTCACAAAATCCATATGAAACCTCAGTTTCAGAAAGATAATCATATACAAAATTGGCATTTTAAAGCCTTGTATGTACAAGTGTCTCTGAAATCAAAATGCATTCTTCAACTTAAGTGATTTATTCTTATAGCACTGGGAGCGTGGCTCATGATTACCTAAAATTTACATGAATTTTAATGATTTACAAGTGCCATTAAATTTTTGTGTTGCAATCATGCTAAAACTGCTGTTTACTCACGTTTTGATCTTACTAGTTCTGTATGCCTACCAGTTCATCATGTCCAAACATCATATACTGTATATTAAATTAAAATGGAATGGGAAAAATTTTCGAATGGGGGGTGGGGATATTTCCAAGGAAATTTGACCATGGGGAGCATATGTTTTATAGGAAATTAGGCCCAAGACCCATATTTCCTGTTACACTAATCTGAGTAATTAGTCACGAAAAACGTATGGTAGCATACAGACTGGTAGGGCACTTGCTTCTCAGCCATTATTTTTCTGGGCGGCACTATTTGTTAAAACTTAACTGTATGGATATTGAACAATTTTATTTGTTGTACCGTGCTAAAGGCGCAAAATAAAATAAGTAAACAGACGTATATTGCTTGATTTAGCATTAATTTTACTACAACTTGTTGAAAATTAAGCAAAAATTGCTTAAAGATGCTGTACAGTCCGATCTGCGTATGTACACAAAGGAGCCCTCTTTTTATTAAACAGTTTATTTCGGTTTTTATTTCATTTTATGTTCTTGCAAAGCTTGATTGTTGTGTCTTGATAATTTATTATACTCTAGAATCATGAAAATATAAATAGTTGTCGAATAAAATTCTATATTTTGGATACCGATATGTAAACAAAGCCTTTGTTTACATACAGAATGTACCGCATCTTTATACATTGCTTAAAAATAGTTCTAAATTCCAATTCCTGTGAATAATGCACAAATTTCGAGGTGCAGTTCTGGCAAAAAGGGCAACCTGTTCCCCCCATGCTGCCCCTGTTGGGCAACAGGGGCAGTTACCCCCGCTGCTCCGGCGCCCCTGGACTGGTAAAGTCCAGGGTTGAGAGCTAGTCTGAAATACCATTACAAGTCCATTGCAAATTAACTGTTTTTATATGTGAGTGACCTTATCGTCACTTGTATAATGGCCCTAATGGCTAATGACGATGCCTTCGATAATATAACACTGATAGCCATAGCCATGGGGAGCATATGTTTTATAGGAAATTTGGCCCAGGGCCCATATTTCCTGTTACACTAATCTGAGTAATAAGTCATGATAAACGTATATATATAGCATACAGACTGGAAAAGTCTGGGGTTGAAAGCTAGTCTGAAATACCATTAAAAGTCCATTGCAAATGAACTGTTTTTATATGTGAGTAGATTAAAACTTATAGGAAACCTTATCGTCACTCATATAATGGCCCTAATGTCAATGCCTTCAATAATATAACACTGGTAGCCATAGCCAGGCATTGTGCTAGAAACATCATCAATCAACTAATCAAAAAATGTATTCAAGGTACCCTGGTTGCAGACAAAGTCCTTGAAAGAGAACCACCAGGTTAACCCTATCCAAAGATCCCCCACCTAGAGATGTTTGAGTTACCCAATTATCAGCCTGACCTACAAAATGTTTTTCTCTGTCTATGCTTTCTAGGTTTGATAGATATGTTCTGACAGGATTCTCACTTGTGGTGTTTAATTTATTTATCCCCAAACCAACGGCGCTCCACGCCATTCCGGGTGTTAGCCCTAGCCGAGGCATGTTTGTGTCTGCTTTAGGGGCTTGACTGTACATGATAAATAGCAGAACAGAACCACTAAACATTGAACCACAAAATCATAAATTAAATCTTTCTCAATATAATGACTATATACAGTGTTTCATTCACTTGGATGCACTTAATAGACAATGTTATTGTTTTAGCAATCCATCTAATTTCCTCTATTTATTTATATTTTCCTCTAAGCTTCTCAAGTGTTAAGGGTGCGCCAGAACTTGGTTCCAGTTGGTTAGTTCCAGCCAGAATTTTGTTCCAGATCTATCAGGTTCTAGCCAGATATATTAAGACTATAGATTAAGTGGCCATGATTAAGTCGTCTCAGACATTTACGAGGTGTTCTAATACCAATATGGCCAAACGCATCTGCTGGATATTAATTATGAATACCATGAGTTAGCAACGTTGTGTACATGATAGTTGTAATCAAACATTATAACATTCAAATAATTGAAATTATGGATCTGAATCTGCCTAAATTCTAGTAGAGTCGAGTGTGTTAACACAATAAACATATAATATCTTAAACTTATTAATCTTACAAAACAAGACAAAAGAAACTCACGAATAAAAATATCTCAACATAGGTTAATAGAGTTGCAGATAAATCTTTTGACTTCTGTCAACTGTCAAGGATATTTTGCTAAATTAATATACAGAATTCTCGTTTGTATATTTTTACCATTTCATTCTAAAATTTCTGCAATATAGTTTACATTGTAAAACTTAATTTAATGAAGAACTAATGTAAATGTGTGTATTTTAATTAACTAATGTGACGAGAATATTCGAATTTCGACTAATCACAAATCTCGTGACACTAAATAATTCATACGCAGCATAAGAACTGAGTTGTAAAATATACTACATTTTGAAACTTACAGTATAGTATGATAGTAAGCCAACAGCCTCATCGAGAACAAACCATCTGTATTGCCATCCTTTCACAACGTTTGTCCACTTTGAAAGTGGACCTTCCATTGAAATCGCCATCTTGTATTCACCTGAATTAATAAATGCCATGAACATGACGTCACTTACCCTCGGCCAACACTGCCTGGTCAAGGCCTGGTCGCAAAGCTGCAATAATTAACAATTATTCGCCGAGGGCTAGCCTCCTCCGCAGGCCTAGCCTGCATGGCAGGCGGTACTTAGGAAATACCGCCTGCCGCAAAACTGGGTGTAAATGAACTACCGCCCCTGAAGCATCAACGCTATTTATAGATGCATTAATTAAGTAAATATTCAAAATTAGCCACTCCCAA